CCAGAATGGACGAGTTTGCAAATATGAGCAGAGCCCCACTTGACTAAATTCTCCAGTCAGGCAGTACATACTACTACAAACCAACCTTATGTTCTTCCGAGATCTATGTGGTGGTTGTCGCACTCCTGTCCGAAGTGCAACAGCCACTAGCAGGTGGGAATAATGAGGAGAGAAATTGGATAGTACCTGAAGTACGATGACTAATACCTGGTTAATATCTGAAGTGCGATACATAATGACGTCTTAAGATTTACTGCACTACATTTCACTATAAGAGCTCAAAAAACAGTCTCCTACCGTACACTGACGGAGTGGAGTGGTTCCCGTGCTCCTTTGCACTGCTGTAATTGAAAATTGCTTTAACAAAATGGAATTGAGGTGCGACGTCATATCGTTGGAAGTCTGTAATTTGTAGGGAATTTCTTACGCAGCTGTTGTGTGACGCATTTTCGTGCTAGGAACTGCCAATTATCTTGCCGATTCCCCTGTGTTCACACCACTTATCGTTTTACACAGTTTTGTAAGGTTGAAAAGAACAGAGCTTCAACGTCTTGCCACTTTGTCCTTTCATTTAGAGCAGGACCGCTAAACGATCGTGTTCACTGTTATTGATGAGCCATATGTGTCTTCCTTCAAGTTCAACACCAAAAACCTGTTGATGTTTGTTGTATGCTCGGCGAATGTTTAGGTTTTACGGGATTGTTTTCGTATTTCAACGAAATATTTTTGTTTACTATACCGTATGTATAGGAGGAAATTAAGGAAGTTGACGTAGGTTCGGGGCCTGAACTTCGGGGCGTCTACTTTTCTCACTAGCAATCAGCTTTCCTTTCATCGTATAGGGTTTTCTATGGAAACAAAATCCATATTCAATCAAAGCATTTACTTCTTTTGCTGTAATTGCTGCATATTGCTAAGAACTGTTTCTAACCATGAATCCGCTAGGGCAGAGCGATTATCGTAATCCAATGATTCTCAGGACGTTCATCCGTTGTCCCGACATTTGTGAAGCCATTGATTTGTGAAGCCGACGACAGGACGCCTTCAATTGTCCCTGTCGCGAGCTGATATATTTAGTGGGCTTTCACTTCTTGGGAACAGAGAAGCGAACCAGTCTCTCGCTGGAAGCTCCTAATTTCTACACTTTATTTGGAGTTTTTTTAATCTTTCCTCTAATGCGGCTAGGGTCACTGTAAGCGGTACCTTCTAGAGAGTCAATTTCTCCATATAAAAACTAAGTAGAAGAAAATTATACGTTTAAGAGCTGGTCAAAATTTTCAACAGTGTCTTTGAAGGCTTGGTAGAAGAGAACATTTGGAATTATCTACCTTGCTGCTTCGTTTTGGACGTTTGGTGGTAATTCTAATGATAATAACATTTCTAAATAAATTCTCGAGTATCCGCTCTTCTTGTTTCTCCTTTGTTGTAAGATTTACGTAACGACTATATGCTCTACAAAAGTGAGTGAGGAACAGTTTGAATCAGTGGCAGATGAACTCCTCCTAATGCATAATCCCCACTATCACTACTCGTGCTTGTGCTTAGCTTTTGATCTGCCTATTTACTGACGCATTCATTTATTTACTACATCCTCTTTGGGCTTACATAAGATAAGCTGTACGTCAGTTACTTGGTTTGTTCCGGTTTACAAGGTTTTACTGTTGCTTGAGTGAGACGGGATCGAGCCAATGACTCAATCGAAGGTTTTTTGCAGTAGTAGACTATGTGCGGCAATTGTAGCCCTAAGATGTTTCTTGTCAGGACGTAGCCCCCACTTGGAACAACTTTAATCAGTATCTCCTCAGCGTGACCATTCATATCCGTATCAGATGACGTTCTGTTGACATTGAAGTCCTACCTGAAATCCTATGCAGATTTGCTTTGCAAAAAAGAAAAGCCAGCACAGAGAACTCCCAGATCAGTCGTTGGCTGATTAGTCGGATGTCATCTCAGCTTCCGAAGAGCATAACAAGCGAAGATTCGTTCAGTGATTCATTCCAAAAGAATTCTCGTGATACTTACGCTTTGAGGAAATGAATAGAGGATAATACTTGATTCCCGACGACGATGACGTCCCTTCGTGGCTCTTTTCAAATAATAACAAAAAATCACCTGTCGGCGATAATGAGGCCTTTGGTTGTCGTCAAAATGTTTTCAGACTTTTTGACGACGTTTTTGCATGTTTTCAGTGGCAATTACTAATTTGCAAAACTGTTACGATAAACAATTCGTGTAAGTGTGGTGTACACAATTGTCTTGGCATTACTGCTGTCTGTGAATCACTTCTGTACTGTTTATGGTTATTCAGCGATTGAAGCTGTAACTTATTCTGAGCGCTTCATTCTTCAGAACACCATTTACATCGAAGATGACTTTAGATTCTATTCATGAGATTCATCTTCACTTAGTACGAATTCCTCTTTTTTTCCTTTCTCCTTTCCAGTTTAATCAGATTATCAAATGGGGTGACAGGTGGGAGAGAGCTCTTATCCCTTTACTTGAAAAACTTTCGACGACCCTTTCAAAGTTCAATGGCTACAGTATTGATATGACTTTCACACTCTACTATCACCTATCGCGACCTGTATAGCCAGCATTCCAAATACTTCTCGAGAAATCCCGGAATGGCAGTTTTATCAATCCTATTATTCCGTTCTTTAGAGTCTTATCAAACGGCAATTTTGGTTTTTTAAGAGTTTTCCGTCCCATACGTCAGAAGTGGTGTTCTCCCTGCATTGATGGCCACGTGGTAGTAGGGTCACATCTTTTTCGAAAAAAAAGGGATTCTGGTGGTCGATTTGTAATATTGTGCTTCGAATAATAAAGAAGCTCAACATCAAAAGGCCCCAGAATAAGGTAAAAGATTTTCAAACTGGAACTTGGCCGTCGCAGTCGTTAATTATCTTTTCAATAGAGGGATTTTGAGATCCATGCTTCATGCAGGAAAGGAAGGAAACACGCGGAAGACCGTTTCAGAGGGAGATCACACGAGTTAGGGGGAATGTTCTCGAATGGAGTCATTTAGGGTTCATCTGAGTCTAGGATTGTCACTTGTATGGTGAAGCATTTGTATCCATAGTGCATTGAACTTCGAGAATGTTCCTTCATGTCGCACTCACAGGCAAAGAGAGGCGCTTCAGATGAGAAAAGGACTATATTGATCAAGTACAACTGGCTCAGTTAGACTCCATGCACTTAACTTGATTCAAAGAAAATGTCAATCTTCTAGAACCATGAAGAAGCCTCTTCTTAGACAGTTTTAGTTCAGATCCAGTAGTGACGTGAACCTCTATAAATTAGACATTCCCTTCGTAGGTGACTTTATAAATAAAAAAAAGTCCATGAGCATAAAGATGCCCGATTTGTTTTAATTACTTTTGAGCTTTTGGAAACCTGTTCAAGCGATTCATAACATTCTTTTCCGCCTTAATTGAATGTGGCTGTTTACATAGGGATAAAAAGCCGAACAAATCATTAGCGAGAGGGAAGTAGACATCAAGCAAAGGGTTTACTGTATTGTGTCTAACTATTGTGTTCCCTTGATAATTGTTTCATCAAAACTGTTCCCTTCTGTGAATGTCAATATGTTTTTAACTATGAGAAACTATGATCATTTTCTTGACATTCATCACTTTTCCCAGAAATACCGTTTACCCAAAATAAATTAGCCTTTTCATATCAATTATAACATTTGGCTTATATACAGTTGGGACGGCGGTGGTAGCGTAGTGGCAAACTGAGCACGCCTGGTCTAGGGATCTTCTTCCAGATCGATATCCGCCCAGCCAAGCGAGTCTTCCATCCCTCCAGGGTCGCTTCAATGACACCGTACTTACTTGGGAGGATATAAGCATTGACTTGTACAACGACTAGCCACCGTGAGTCATTTTATAGGCCAAGCACGCATTCCTAAAAACTAGATAGTGAGCCTCTCATTATCTAGGTTTGAATGGCTTCAAAGGTAGAAGCATCAACTTTGGCTCAAAATGTTCCTTTAGTTCGACGAGTAGAAAAACTTGGTAATTGAACTTTCTAAGAACACTAATTGAATGTCGTTGGCTATGCTCATAAATAACGTGGGCTCTCAATGATTGTAGGGTACTGACTCTAACGTCAGCAGGAACTGAAAAAGACATGATGCTGCTAATTGGGCTTTTGTTCTTGAAATCCTTCTCACATTCTAGTGGAAATAGGTATGAGGATTCGATTTGACGTATGTGGCATATACAATGAGTTATGAAGAATACGTGACTTACATTCTTTGATGACTTCCGTTTCAGTAGTTGCTCTGTTTTTCATAAAAGTTTGAGTTCATTGGGACTGAACAGCGAAGACGTGAATAGCACGGTTACGCAAGCGTGTGAACGGTCTCTTCCTCTAGTTCCTCCTTATTCATGCTAATTGTTTTCCCTTGACTAGAATTTGTTAGTTTCACACGAATACATCAAACATCAGCAGTCAATTAACTTTGCTTGCACCTTTATCTTGTATTTGTACACGGAAGCCTCACACAATCGGATTTTGTTCAATCTTATTCTCCTCTTTTGGAACTTTTTTCCAGAAATTCAAACCCAGTCGGAAGTATAACCCTGATGCTTACATAATTTTGTGCTTATAGAGAGCAATTTTTGCTATAGATGGAACACTCCCCTTCCTAAATCCCTCTATCATTTCCTTCCAACAGATGCTCACTTGGTGCCTTGTTTTGATTTCGAACTTCCTAAATATCTAAGTGCTCAGAAAGAAGAATCGTAGTGATGAAGAGATAGGTATTGATTTTTGATCAACGCAGCGCCCAATGAATAAGTTATTTTTTCCCACGTTTCACGTACGTCGTCATCCACACAAATCGTCTTCTTTGAACTCCTCAATTACTTCCGTTCTAATCTGTTTATCTTTCATGTGTGGAGTCAATCCTTTCGTTTTCAATTTCCGCATTTGATTCGATTGTATATATGAATGAGCATCAACAAATAGAAAAATTATATTCATTTTTCCAGATGTCCTATGACAGTACGCTTGTTGGTGTTGGCATTGTTATAGTCGTAGCGCTTTTGGCAGTACTTTTCAAACGAATGTAAGTTTGAACTAATTTCATTTGTTTCTTCTACGGTAGCCGTCGTATTGATTGAGAAGCTAGAATTCGCGTTTTCAGAAAGAAGTATAAACATGAACAAGCTCTATTTCGGCAATCACAAATGGGCTATCCAAATCCACCACCTCTACGAAGTATGTTAAGCTTTACTTCTTTTCGATTTACTTAGCAGTTTTTTTTTGTATTTTTGAAATTTAGCAAATTTTATTTTGTTGATTAAAGCTCCACTGATTTAGGTCCAATTCCCAATGAGCCATATCCAATTCTTCATTTACCAAACTATGCCAATTCTGGAAGCATGCGAGATACTGTAATCACCATTGATGGTAAGTTCTTCACTTTTTTGTTGTAAGAACATCATGAAATAATTATAAATCTTTCGGTATGCGGTTTTTTGTTTACTTAGAAAAATTTTAAGAGTAAACAAAATTTTACAGCTACCTCATTAACAGCCAATTTTTTTCAAGGTTTTTTTCCCGTTAATTGGCCATAGTAATCGAGGAAGTATAAACGCCATTACTATTTTTGTTTTTTTCAGGTAACCTTCAACGGCAATACGAGTTTTACGAGAACATACCTGTACCGCATCAAGTCTTTTCACCGCGACACTACGAGCCACCGCCACCGTATCCAGGCGAAAGTAACAAATCGACAAACATCTAAATTACTGCCGTCATGCGTGCCTCAAATCACTAGGGGCCAGTCGTTGGCTTCCAATTACCTCATGACTTCTTCACATTCCTGTGCTGGACAATTATTCTGCTCATTTTGTCTTCTATAGCATAAGTGTATGTATCAATGCAATGTGTGTCGCCTATGTGCTCAATGATCCTCCAGATTCCATGCTGCAGGAAAATATACTGTAGTTATCGATTAGCTGCATCAGAATCTTCTGGATCTCATTTCACGTATAGGATTTTCACGGGTCCAATCCGCGTGGTATATGTTTCTCTTCAGATGGCAAAGTTTAGGTGCCATTTCGGTCAAAATGGCTTTCACGACCGGATGCTTCGTCAGTCTGTTCTGATTGACGAACGAATAAAATATTGGAATTATGTAGATATTGTATAGAGTTTAATAAAAATTTAAATAATAATATGTTTTTGTTCTGCGTCACCACGGTAAATGTACAGTAGTCTATCCGCAAATTACAGCGGTTATTTGCTTCAACTCACATAAGCTGAGTAATGTATCACACAGGAGCACCACAAAAGTTATTTCATAGATCACAGGTTCGGTTTGTGTCATTTGCAAATTTTTTATTGGCAAGTCACCTTTCGTTACGTCAGAGAAATTAGCAAACCATTCACTGGAAAAATAGGAAGATGGATGATGCGGTGGCCAGCCGATTTACAAGCCTGTGCTTTTATCTCAACGGTCTGGTGATGATTAAGAAGGAATGGAAGGCTTGATTGGCCCGGGCAAGTATTGATGCGAGACTCAGTTTTCGGACCATGCGTGGGTGTTGGTGCCCTGCTTCCTAATAAATCATTTGATATTATGGATCGAAAAGCACGACTACTGGTTGGTACTCATTTTTATAAATATTAGCTTCAGAAAGATCGACGTACTTGGATGATTTCCCTGGAATTCAGATGTATAGTACTGGATACCTGTCACACTACGTAGTAACAGTTCATATTCTTTCTGCTTATTATTTTTGCTCTCTCTTTCCCCAGAAAAAGTATTTTTTCTATTCAGCTTCAAGTGGGCCTGAAATTTGGGCATAGCCTATACAATGCAAAATCTCCAAAAACTGCTATCTTCCCTCATGTCCCATGAAAACCTTTGAAAGCTGTTGCAATTAAGGTTCCCTGAAATTAGTTTCCGTGGAAACAATCTTTTTTGCGGTAGACCTCTACGAAGTTTGACTACTCACCGATAGGTTGCCCGATCTTATATTCCCAGGTTGTGCCTGAGCTTATTTTACGTAGTCTATGTTATTAAGTAATTACTGTAAGTGTTTATCCCAATAAAGTTGGCTGTTGGCTTTGGCTTGTCGGAAAAACGAGCAGTGATGAGCAGAGAATCTTAATTTTTCTATCTATTATTTAGGCATCTGTATCTATAATTCTACACGGAACCCACTCTCGACCAATCGGTATTTATTGTAGAGGGATCGTATAAATGAAAAAGAGCTGGGTATTGATCCTTCAGGGAAAAGTCCTAAGCTGGGATTATGAATAAAAATGGTGTTTACCCTTCTTTACATCAATTTCTTCAACTTGGTTACCTGCCAAAAGCTTACCATAATCGATATCGTTGTTAAAGGTTTTACCTACACACACCATTGGTTTTCAGATTTTCTCACTCAATGCATGAGATAAGATTCCTTGACCTAGAGAAATCCCGCTGGTAAGAAAAAGATTCGCCGTAACGAAATCGAGGGTCTGGCAAAAAAAAGGCGCACTGGATGGTGAAGAGCGCTCAGACGGCCCCATTGCGCCAGAATTGAATAGTCTCTAAAAGAGCATACAAAAAAGTTGTGTGCCTAAATTCGATTGTCGAACAATTCGGGAGACGGGCAGTAGGATCGGTTTTGTGTAATAAATTCGCCGCGCGCGGCTGTTGCGGACCATTCGCTTGGCCGTTATTACAGATCTGGCGTCTTTCATACTGGTTAATCGATATGCGAACACTATTTTAGGCACGATTCTACTGTTGGTTCTTTTGTTGCTGTACATCTTATATGCTGCATTCTGCTACATTCCATCACGCGCGGCGTCCCTTTCGCCGCGACGCGACAATTTCGATCCTACTGCANCACACCCGAACGATTCCCTACGATGTTCGAACCGCGAAGCTGTGAAGTTCTATAACAATCATCTGCAAAATGTCATAGTTTCAAATCTTGTTAGTCATCTACTTGTTATGCTTGTGTGTCTGAAAGCGACATTCTGTTCATAGAATAAAATTCCCAATTCGTGAGGTATGTCGTAGGTCGATTATCTGGCACCTGCTTAGGCAGCTGCACATAGAAGAGCCTGAAAGCGATCCCAGTTATTTGCTTGGAAAGTCATGCAAGAGGAAAATGAAACACTAGAGTTTCGTTTCATACAAGTCACTGCAGGGAATGCGAACTTCATCCAGATTGAAGCTATGTCAACCGAGGCCCCTCAAAGATTTTGTATAAGGGAACCACTCCCAGTCTAACTGGCATCGCAAAGATGGAAGAAACACCAGTTGGAATCCATAAGCATTTTCCGCTTCGCTGGTGCACTATCTTGGAACAATACCCTCGAAAAGAAAGCTGACTTGTTGCTTCTGGCATGGTTGCAAATCTGGGGTTTGAGTCAGAGAAGGCACACTCTCACTGTTCAGAATGGAAGTTCAGTCTGGTTTTGTGGAGTTTCTGCAACATGGATCTTCCATCAGTGCTAGAAGGCTTAGATGTGTATCTCTAATATCAGTGATATCCTCCCGCCCTGCTCTCCTCCTCTCTTCTATCACTGGCACATAGAGCATCAGCCCCGTTTCTTTTCGTCAACACGGAAAACACCGGTTTCAAGGGTAAAGGAAGCAGTATTGTTATGGAAGCAACGAACCACAGATGATGATATACCACAGCTTGAAGTGACTGTCACTTCAGTACAACTTCGAGTACATGGTATGGGTTGACAGGATCCCGAGCCAAAGGTGCCAACTCTAGGGTTCGTAGGAGCCGGGTGCATGATGCATAGTGGAATGGAGCCGTTTGAAACTGAGTGGTTCGTCCTCAATACGATTAAAATATTCATTGAAGAAACATCCAGAAAGGGGTATGGGGTTAGTTTGATTATCCATCATTTTCCTGGTATGTACACTCTATAGGGGAATTCAGTCATATGTATGTAAGTGCTCCTAACGACTTGTAGATATGGATTACAAAACTGGGAATTCTTGAAATACCAAAAAACCCATTTGTCAAGAAAATACCATCTTTGAGATCAGCTTCGAGAGCTCTACCTATACAGTCAAAATCCTTTTTAAAATTTCAAAAATGGTTTTTCTTGATCTTCAGATCTTCTGCCTCGACATATAGGATTAGCTTTCTTGATCTCGAGCAATCCCGATGGTTTGGAAAGGAATCGCCGTAACGAAATCGAGGGACTGGCAAAAAAATAAGACACAATGGATAATGAAGAGCGCGCAGACAGCCCTAAAGGCGCCAAAAAAACGAGGGGTCGACGCCATCGACTGGAGATCAAAACGAGCGATCGCAAAGCAAAAAGGTGGAGAATGAAGATCAAGTGGAAAATTTTTTTATAGTTGTACATACAATTTGTACATATTTAAAAAGATCTCCCGATACTGATTCTGAATATGTAGGTCTTTTTTCGGCCGAGTCCTGTAAGAGATTGAGGCGAATTTCGCTAAGCTGAAAGCCTGAGAGACTTTTACGCTGGAAGCCCAGCAGTTCTCTATGCTGATTCCAAATGGGTACAGCTCACCCCTCTCATAGTTCGATTTCAACAACGAAAGCAACCAGTAGTTGAGATCTCAAACACAAACTGAATGTGATCGAATAAAGACTTCAGTAGCAATCCCAACATTGGGACTTGTTCGCCGAATCGCCAATTTGAACAGCCATAATTTCAGGGAAACGTGTTTTTTGGAACACTCACTCTAATCGTGGGTGGTATGTTCCCACGAGACTCCACAGTTACGGAGATGACACATGCGACTGTTTCTGAACCCTTCTTGAAAGAATGTTTTGGCAGTGTTGGGTAGCAAACGAAGGATTTAACTTCAAGCTGGGTGATGTGTGTTCTATCCCACCATTGGAATCATTCAGTCAGTGTGTTTGGTATGGGAGAGTCTGTTGGTCCGACTTTTATGCTTATACTCGTGCTGGCATGGTAGTAACTCCTTGATACTGTGTAGTATTAATTGCACTTTGTTGGTACCTGGCTATCTAGTTGATTTTTTCCCAAATTTTCGGAATCTGCTTATGGCACTACAATCAGGTGCTTACAAATTCACCCCTTCACCGTTTTTTTTTCAGAATCATGCTGTAGGATATAATGTTTATTAAAAACGTGTCTGAAGCCTTCCCCATCTGCCGCATATCCTTGACAAGGCTCCTACCTACCAGGCCCGTATTTCACTCGTCATCTTGAAGTTAATTGGTAATCCGCCAAGAGGGACGTTCGATTCGTGCGATTCCGTGTGCGCGTGGCAAATTGCCCGGCGAAATTCGCGATGATTCATACAATTCCTGCGCCTATCATTGAAGCACAATCATGAAGTAGAGTAGTTTAGTAGGGTCGGACAATACTACTAAGCTACTTTACTTCATATTTGGGCCCCAATGATAAACGCTGCAGTCGTCCAAATCGCACCGAATATCGCCACGCAATTTGCCGCGGGCACCCAGAATCGCACGAATCGACACACACCCATCCGCCAGTCGCTTGCTTCTGCCATAGAGAGTCCACAAGCTGTCTGCAATCTGGCAAAATGTTGTTTGGTGCTAACGAGGTATATAACTTAATATAACTGAATGTGATTCTGAAATATAAAACATATAAACATTGTATTTTGTCAATCTGAAAACTCCCCACATTATCGATTCAGAATTTCTTTTATCGTTTTTTTTTCTGGGATCGCCTTTTACAGATCCAGTTTATCTCATTCGTTTCTAAGCTTTTGACTGGAGAGTGAGGGTGAAGTCATCATATCGGTCCCAAGGGATTGTGTTTGTCAGTGGATGGATTAGTAATCGGTACTCTCAAAGCTCTTTGCCATCATCCACTTTGATTAGACCCGTGGTCCATCTCATCATCCACCTCGGTATCAGTCCTGTGTGAGAAGCTAGAAGTGCTCGTCCTGCCAGATAACACTCCCTACATTATCAGAACAATTGCTTTTGAATGATTCAGTTCCAGATAGGGCAGGCCCGGCAGTCTCATTTCACTTCTCGATAGAAACCCCTGAACGAGTACAGCCATACCCGCTCTCGATTAATTGTTTGTCAGCCGATCTACAGCGGATCTCAAAACCGGTCACGGGCGGTACTATACGAGGGCAATTTGTTGTTTGCAACCTTTTTTTCTTGAATCACTTGCCCACTTCACTTCATTCATTGCCTGGATAGTCTCGCGATTTGCCTGTCATCCATCAAAATAATCCATTTCGTTTTATCACGAAGTGTTCTGTTTTATAATACTGATATTTTCAATCTTTAAAATTTTCCAATAATATACTTGGCCTTCCGAAGTACATAAATACTATCTCAAGCAGTCCGTGCTATCATTTTATCGCAAGAGATTGATGTTTGTTCCCAGGGAGCATTGATCAGATCTCTTCTTGGAAAGTTCTCTTTCGGAAGGCGATTGGCTGGGTCGTTACTGAATGTCAAAAGAGCAATTATATGTTTTAATAACTGTTGTGCAGTGACTGATGGCGCAATATCAATAACGGATAATGGATCGATACTTACCCAGGCTACCATACCCTTCCATCTCTGGGCTGTCGGTCAGTATCTGAAATGATCTCTCTCGTATGGGATGACAAAAGCACTGGCTTGTACATCGGCTGGCTACAGCATGTCATTCTTAAGACCGCATAGGCATTCAAGCAGCCACTACAATCTTCAATGTACTACAAGGGGCGCATCCCAAAAATTGGATTTGTGCTATTCAAATGTATAGTCAATCGCCTGAATGACGCTCACAACAGCGGGGTTTTTAGCGTCCAAAGTACGATAGTAATGCGCGTCTTTATTATCCCTTGCGACAAGTGCACTGCCCTCATTGCTGCTCTACAATTATCCACCTCTTTGGAGAACGAGGGCCTGGGTTTGTGCGGCACCGTTCCAAGAGTTGCTTTAGCATTGTATACAATGAAGTCCACACTTCTAGGTATTCACAATATCACGAATAGGTCAGAACTGTTTGAAAATTAATTGAGATTGAAAAATACAGAGGAAAAACCCTTATCTTGCAAGATCCCATTCATTTGTTCATAGTGGGGAGAGCGGCCTCGCACTCTCCTCACGCGGCGCCCTAAGCTAGTCGTGCCAGGACATTTCATTTTGAAGCTGGCAAAACCTATGTTGTCCCGGTGACCTAGTTCCCCCAGAGTGTCCGCGTCTGCACCTCCTGACCCATTTTCAATCACTTCGATATAACCAAAGCTCTACTCCTATATCTCTTTTGTTGCCTGTGTAATAGGTCCTGTTGTAGTGAGGTTAGATATTATTTCAGGAACACCGGTTCCTCTCCAACGCGACAAAAATTCACACCTGTCCACTCGAACAAGATCCATGAGAGCAACACTTCTAGTGAGTATCCTTTCTACATAACCGTTTTAAGGCTTGCTGACTAAAGTTTAACTTCTCGAGCGAACAAGAATGCACCTTTTTCAGGGCCTTATTTGTATCGTTGGTTTGGTCACTACAAAAAATGGGACAGGTGCGTATATCTTATCTTGTATTCTATACATTCTGGGTGGATGTCATGTAGTGCCATGTGGCGCCGCTTTCTCGCTTACGAGTCGAGGATCCTCTCCTATGCACGGCAGTTAGGCCTTACTTCCAATAAGACCGATCGAGGGCTACATCTTTCATCGTTATCTACAATCAGGCAGTAGAAACATGTTTTTCAAAAGAATATTTAAAGTTTGAAGTTCAAGTGAAGGAAGGATTGGAGTAGCTAGAAAAATCCTCTCCCTGCCACGTTTGGCATGGACATCTTCTAACTTTAACTGATAATTCCACTGCAAATCATGGCATCAAAGCCGTATTTCAGATCCATTCGATGTAAAACCGCCATTCAGAAGATGTTTCGTCAATGAAGAGTTCACTAAATGCGGTCCGTTGTGCCAACCAAAGTGTGGACAAACAAAACCGGTACGACTTTCATTTGAACTCTACACTGATCAATCGCGTGTGGTCGTGTGACTACACCGAATTCAGTGTAATTCATTTAAAACACCCGAAGTGCAATTATTCAACGAAGGGATATCTTGACCATTAAAGATACTGCTATTTTCGATCAATTTGGAATGTTAGTTCACAGAGGTGGGAAGATGGCGAGAAGATAAATCGTTACCCGTAAAAAAAGAAAAATGGTACCGGAATACTGCGTAGTGCAGCGGCGTCATTTGTTCAGGGGATTCTTCACTCTACTTCAAATTTTCGCTCTGAAATTACTGGAATCAGTTTGTGATTTTATTGATAGAACTCGTCTTTTTGTGCGGATATGGTGCAGTGGAAAGTGGTACACTATCACGCTTGCACGATGCGCGGATCTACCCTTCCTTCCCGCTCCCCCCAAAGGTCAAGAATGATGAGAGCAAGTAAGCTCGACTGTTACACCCTTCAGCGAACTCGTTTATATATATCTCTCTCTGTTGACTCGTCACGAAAGAAAAAAGTTTTTTGGCTCATTCAGTCCCGTCTTAGGGATACGCCCTGCATTCGACTTCCATTCAAAATCGTAGTGGCGTAGTGAATGCGTGTGTGATCTATACATTCCCAGCCAGCCAATGTAGAAGTCAGTGCATTTATCCTCCTAGACGAGTGTGGTGTCATTTAGCCGACACAGGAGGTATGGAAGACTTGGTTGGCATCGATCCGGCATCCGAACCCGTGACCGTGCTTTTTAGATACTACAACTAGCCACTACACCACTTCCGCCCCGCTAACTCCTCATTCTTACATAATGCGTTCTTAAATATGCTTCGTTAACTAAAAAGTTTTTTTTTCGGCAGAAATTTTGTTCATTGCGATGCATTCCCAGTTGTCAGTGTAAGAGCGGTTTTTTGAGGAATCGAAATGGTGCCTGTGTCGCTGATTGCACTGACAGTACGTTATTTCTAGTCCGGTACTTTTTTTTAATTTTCGTACATTTGTTCTGAACTTCTGGGGACGTTGTAAAGATCAGTCTACTTCAGTCTTTCCTAAACAAACAGTCTTTTGGGCGGGCTCATTCAGTTGGCTGTAAACTAAATTCCACATTCATTGGTTATTGGATGTCTTTCTGATGGATTATATTGGCGGTGAAAGCGGTCGAGACGTGACTATTAGCCCCTTCCTAGAATTTCCGGTGTAAAATGGTTGGCCCCTTTAATGGCTACTAATAGTGAGACTGGCTGCGTTCAGAGTTTTCATCCCCAGAAACTCATGTGGGATCTGTCCGGTCCAGTTGAGTACGCTACTCTATTTACAGATACCTCGAGACGAACCTGTGCAGCGAACGAAGAGTTCAAGGATTGTGGTTCAGCTTGCGAGCCTAGCTGTCGGAATCCGAGACCGGTAAAATGCTCATGCTCCTAACGCTTGATCAGAACTCAAATGCTCTACTTTTTCAGCGAATTTGTAGCCTCGAATGTGTCGTAGGCTGCCAGTGTAAGAGCGGATTCTTCCGAGACGATAATAATGTGTGTGTCAGAGAATGCGACAATGGTTAGAAAGTTTTTTGGGAATTCTGAATGCATTTTTGATTTTCTTTCCAAGATATAGCTACACCTCGGAATTGGGGGTCGACATTCCTGTGAAGTGTTTTCGCTCCTGCTCTTCTTTGAGAACACTAGCCCGCTCTCAAGGTTTCTTTCAGCGACAACCATCTTTCCACTGCTTCTATAACTCACCCACTATAGTAAGAAACCGCTGTCAGTAGGTGATACTCGCGATGGCGATTACTGGCCCACACACTAGTTTGAATGGGATATGTCAACATCTATCAGCATATGGGCAGACATACCAGACTGATTCTCACAGTATGCTATGCAGGTAAACTCTCTGCATAGGATACTGTGAGAATCAGTCTAATGGACATGTATCAAGAATCCCTATTGCGACCATCGCACGCAACCACTTGACAGGTGCTCCCGACTTGTTCCCCAAATATCAAGCAACCTGCTCAAGGAGAAGAAAATCAGTAAGAGATCTGATCTGCAGCGTCGTTGTTGCAAGCGAGATCTTCGGGAGCGAATTGCTCCCAATAATTATTTATCTTGAAAAGCAGGAGTTTCTCCCAGGTGGTCTGGCCCCCAGTATAAAATACAGATTACGCGTAAGTGGAATTTTGACACAGACATTTTGCTAATGCTGAGTCATCCATCGTTCAAGCAAGGTGTTCCCTTCCTCCAAAACTGCTTTCCAGAGAAATTTTTTTGTGAGCAGCAGAGGTAGTTGGGACAAAACGGGCCTGACCTGAATGTGAATACTACCCCTGAACGTATCTAGGGAGATTTTTCCACCCAAAGGACCCAAAGGAGAACCTTGTCTTTGCGACAGTATACGGTGTTATTGTTGATAGTATTGTGTATCGTACCTGTCATCTCTCCAACGTTATCATTTAGCTTCGTCCAATATATGTTCCGAAAATGAAGAATTTAAACAATGTGGAACAGCTTGCGAGCCGAGCTGTGAAAAACCAAACCCGGTCGGTTCTTTTGTTCAGACTCGTCTAAATGTCCATTTCATTCTCTTTTAAGCTCAATATTTTTCGCGGATTCTTTCATCCGACTTCATTTCAAGCTTTTCTCTCTAAATGACCGCCCATTTTGGCTTCACAAGTTCCCCAGCTATACTCTCACTGTCGACAACCGAACACATAGCCGCTTGATTTCTTATACGGTCATGTTGTCGCTAATTCTTAATCAATTATCTATCTTCACACAAATTATACAGTATTTCCAATATAGGCATTTTTGACTGAGCAATTACATCAAAAGACTTTTTTTGTAGCAATCGTGCACAAAGAAATGCGTTCTCAATGTCTGCCAATGCAAACGAGGCTTCGTTAGAGGTGCAAACAGGACCTGCATTCACCAACAAGATTGTCCTGGAGGTGATTTTGAACATACGTCATCTATTCAACTAGTATAAAAGAGTAAGTGAAACGATAAACAGCATCAACCGGATTTTTTGGGTCCCTAATAATCCATTTTTTTATAGTTAGGACAACTATTTTTTTACCCACCACTGACCTCAACATGTAATATCACAGGGCAGTAAAGGCAGATCGTAGCGAAAACAAATAGTTACAAACAGAAAAGAAAAGAGAGTAGAGCGGTATATACATCCCTCACCTTAACGTTTGATTATCCAAGCGCCTTAGGGAGGACGGTAGCGTCGTTCAGTGCACTTTTTTGGTATAGTACTTTTTTAGGTCTCAAAAATGTTGGAAGAAACACTACAATGTCGATGTCAGTCACTAGTCATCCCTCGACGACTGCAGCGCACTTTATTGCAGAAAAGAAGAAGAAATCAAGTTCGATTTGAAATTGGAAGACAGAGTTCAGCAAAATTCTAATGATCTATCATTTCACATTTTTATCTTTCATTCTATTAATACTTGTAATAATTCAGAGCGAACGTAGTAAGATTGGGTTGGCCATAAATATTCGAAGTTATTCTCATTCTGACTGTTCTTGCTTTGACCGCTTTTACTAACCTACCACGCTTCTCCTTTTCCTCCATGAGTTATTCATTCGGTTAAACTTATTCTACACAAGCTATGGTATGCCACAATATACACAACTTACTTGGATACTTGGATACTTGGACGCTCGTTGTCGGCTGATATTTCTCAGCGGCGAGCACACGCTTCCATCCATTTTTGACGATCTTGAGCGGTTTGGGACCAGTGTTGACCATCGTTTTCCTGAAGTTTCTTCAGTGAATCACTCCATCTCGTTGCAGGACGGCCTAGTGTGCGTTTAATCTCACGTGGGTACCAGAACGTGACGCGAGTGGTCCACCTGTCGTCCGTGCGTCTAACCACGTGCCCTGCCCATCGTTTCTTTGCGTTCCACGCGTACACTTCGGCGTCACGGATGCCGGACATTGAGCGCATGTCTGCGCTGCGGAGGTTAAGACTTCTCTGCTTTGCGCGGTTGATCTTCAGCAGCGTCCGCTCTAGAGCTCTTTGTGCGCGAACCAGCATTAGCGTTGACGTCTTGTTCTCCGCCCACGTCTCGGATGCGTAACAGAGTGCTGGCAATACCGTAGAGTCGAAAAGGTCAGCTCGTACTTTCTTGTCCGATACGAGATGAGCCGCTNTCGATCCTGCGTCCGAACCCGTACCGTGCTTGTTGGATACTACAACTAGCCACTACACTACCGCCGCCCCGCTAACTCCTCATTATTACATAATGTGTTCTTAAATATGCTTCGTTAACTAAAAGGTTTTTTTGGCAGAAATTTTGTTCATTGCGATGCATTCCCAGTTGTCAGTGTAAGA